ACCCCAGGTTCTTGTGCACTTTTACAAGCCCCCCCGATGTCCCCCAGGTTGCAGTGTGCTTGCACAGCTCCTCCCCCCCTCCGCCCCCCGATGTTCCCCAGGTTCTTGTGCATTTACAGACCCCCCCCGATGTCCCCTTGTGCGACCCCCCCAGCGCTGTGCCTCTGCCGCAGGGGTGAGCACTAGGTGGCAGCCGGGACACGATGTGCACAGAGCCATAAATCCATAAATTAATTCCACCCCCCCACGCCCCCCAAGGGATGAAACCTTTGTGAAATGTGATCCCGAGCGTTGGGGGGTGCAGGTGCCCTTTTGCGTGCAGAGACACGTCCTAGCTGCTTTTTTCCCCCCCCAAATCTCCAGCCCTGCAGACTCCAGCCCCGAGGAGCACATGTTTTTCATAAAATAAATCCTCAGCAAGTCGCTGCAGGAAAGGCCACGAAGGGTTTTTAATTATGTCCAAATATCATGTATGGTTTTGTCTTTGCTTTTGTAAAATCACGCAGGAAGCTCCCAAAGCTCTGTCCATCAGCTGGCTCTTGGGATATGTGTGTTTGAGGGGTTTCAGGCATTTAATGTAGGTTGGTTTTTTTTTTATTATCATTTTTTATTTTAGAGCGTTTCTTTGCAACTCTGGGAACAAAGCTTGGACTCTGCTCATTAACAGGAGAGACATTTCTCACCCATTCAGCTGAGTGCCAGAGCGGGCACTTTGTGAAATACCAAAGTTCAGTCTCCAGGGCTCTCTCTAGGTCTGTAGTTAACACCGATAACGCCCCTCTTCCATATTTGCATGTGAGCGATGAACTAAATAACCTGTGTGTGCTCAGGGCCGTGGATGTGCTGCTGGTCGAGAAGCCCGACTGCCCAGAAATGTCCCTGCCTGACTGTCCCTCCTCAAGGGAGCATCACCAGGGTCTCTGCTCAGTCTCCAGCACTGTTTTTTTACCAAGAATGTAAGAAATTAGGAAGCATTTATATACAGAACGGATTGCTGGGCGTTGGAATGGGCTGCCCAGGGAGGTGGTGGAGTCCCCATCCCTGGAGGGGTTGAAGAGTTGGGTTGACCCAGCGCTGAGGGATCTGGTGGAGTTGGGAACTGTCAGTGTGAAGTTAATGCTTGGACTGGATGATCTTCAAGGTCTTTTCCAACCGAGATGATTCCGTGATTCTGTGGTTCTGTGAAATATGCATCTTTGCAGCCTCAACTCCAGTGTTTTAATTTGGTGGCCAATGGGTTAAAAACGTCACGGGTGGAAGGGACAGCCGACTTTTCCTCTTGTCCCGCTGCCACGTCAGTATTCAGCAAAGTGTCTCATTAACTAACAATGTTGAGCTGTTGGGCCCAGCTCCAGCGAAGCATTTTAATAAAGTTAGGGATGTAAATAGGACTCTGGAGCCAAATGAAGCTCGTTCTTGGTTGTTTCTGAGCCATGTCCTCCACAGTTTATAGTATAACAAATGCCACGGCTGCCAAATGTCCCATTCCTAGAAAACACGCAGAGCACAACTAAGCTTCTAACATGCACCAAAGCCTCTTCCAAGGCTCAGGGTGGGGCTGTTGTGGAACCATCTTCCCTTGCAAATCCAGCAGTGAGGAAGCTGCAAGGGTTCGTGCAGGTGCAGTGTGCTGTGACCCTTCTTGTGACCCACAGATGTGCGAACCTCGGCATCTCATCCCCCGACCCTCCATTCTCACCATTCCTGGGAAGGACCCACACTGAGGGGCTTCGGCTGTCTTTTCGGAGCCTCAAAATGACTGATGACAAAATCGGTGCCTCCTCCTGCCCCAAGGCTTTGTTCCAAGTGAGGAATAAATTCCCATGCCGCACGAGATGCCAAGAAAAACAATGCCAAGCAGAGGAGAAAGCCAGAAAGCCTCCCAGAAGATATTTCCAGAGCTAGCCACCCTCCCCAGTTTCATCAACAACTCCCAGTTGCTCTGGCTGCCATCCAGTCCCTGATTTGGCTGCACTTTTCTCTGCTGGATTTCAGCACCCATGAGCTTTTCTTGCTAAAAAAAAAAAAACCTCTCAGGTCTCCGATGAAGCTGCATCCAGAGGATGGTGAAGTCACCTCTCTTTAATTTATTCAGTGAGTTTAGCAAATGAAGGTCCTCCAGCTCCTCCATGCAAAGCTGTTACTCCAACCTTCAAGTGATTTTTTTTGGGACTCTCTGCTGCACCTTCTCATAGTTTAGCCCCCACTTGAAGTGGGAGCGCAAGTCGTTGCAGAGACCTGTTGGCTGTGCTGCCGGAGCTGCACACACACAGGTATAACATCTCGGTGGGGCTGATTCTGGATTCAGCCCCTCCGTGGCTTTGGGCAATCTTTGTTTGGGTCTAAAAGGGGAAAAAAATATTCCTTTCTGTGCCAAACCTGAATTTCTGGAGGCAAAGATGCATCTTGTTGAGATTTGAGTGTGCAAATACCTTGAAGTGAACTGGGCCTTGTGCACATGGTCGTTGCTCTGGCTAAATAGTTGCTGAAATATCTGACTATCAGTGCTGTTGGTGGAGGAGATGGTGCTTTGGATCAGGCCATGGGAGCCAGCAGGTGTTGGTGTTCAAGAGGATAATTCCTTTTCTGGGTGGGGACGTGTTGTGGTATCTATCCACACAAGAGTTTGTAAATAGAGGTTACGATGTGCAGCCTGTAAACATATTATTTGGATTCCAAATACAATTGCTAAATTCCTGAAGTTCTCATTCATCAAAGCCTTATAAATACAGGTTAATTCCTTCCTCTTGAAGTGTCTCTTGGCCTCAGCAGCTCTGTGGTGGAGCTCCACAATGTCAGCCAAAGCCACGAAGATACTCTTACTGCTGCTGCTGCTTCTCCCTGCGGTGTCCCAGGCTGCCACAGGTAAGTGTAAATACAACAGATGGGAATTTTTGTGTTTGGGAAGCAGGGAGCAATTCTGAAAATGAGACATGAACTTGTGATATGCGCACAGCTGGTGTGGTACTTGGCATTGAACCTGCCTGCCTGGCACAGAGGAGTCAAATTCCAGCTGGTCACTTCTGGGCTAAGGGGAGAGAGCGTCACAGTTTGCAGAACTCGTGGATGCTTTCAGACGTCGGAGCAAAACTCCAGAGCAGGTTGACGATCTCCCTGAGATGCCACTTGGTTCTATCCGCAAATTGTGAACATGGGGACAGGCTTTCTTCATGCCTGCAAATCCAAAGAAAGGTGCTTACCAGCTCTTTTTCTCCATTACAGTGGCAGACACCGTGATGTGTCGGAAGACCAAGGGCAGGTGTTCGTTCCTGCTGTGTCCCTTGTTTATGAGAGCCACCGGTACCTGCTACAACAGACTGGCGAAGTGCTGCAGGCCCTTATGGTGACCCTCGGCAGTCCATGAGGGGCTGGCAGCATCGGCAGCATCAGTAGCAGTGGCAGCAGTCAAGTAGTTTTGTCCTTCTTTCCATGGGTATGTGTTGGGTTTGGTGCTGTCTTTCCTCAGAGCTGGTGGAAGTTCCTTTTCTATGTGGCCATATATCTGCTCTTCACCCACCTATCCACACCCAGGAAATCACTGTGTGGCAGCTCCTCATCCACGGGACCCTGTCGCCCCGCTGTCACCAAGGCAGGGTTGAACTGGTAGCCTGAAACTGGGCTCCTCTCCTCTCCTCTCCCTCTCCCTCTCCCTCTCCCTCTCCCTTCCGAGGGTGGTTTGTGGTGGGGATCAGGCAGATTTCCTCCTCGTGTTGGGGAACAGTGTGATGTGTCCCATGTGATGCTGAGATACCACAGCACATCACCCATCCCATATGCTCTCCTGTGGTGGCCACCTATGGAGCACTAATGGCCTCAGATGCCACCCTGGTGTCCCAAGGGAAGAGCACAAGGCTGATTTCCAACCACAGAAGAAGTTTAGTTGGGAAGGGGCTCCCTATTATGGCCTGGCTGCTTCACCTTGGTCGAGCCCATGGAGGAGTGAGGTGTGGAGGGCTGGTGCTAGGCAAGGCTCAGCCCCCTGGGACCCTCCTCCAGCTCTTGGACTTCTGCATTGCCCTTTATCCACCACATGCCAAAGGGGTGTGGGGCAGGGACACTGCTACTTTCTCTCCCTATGTCTCTCCCACCTTGTCCCTGCCTGTGATTTGTCTCTCTGCCTTCATCCTCACCAGCCAGGTCCTGCATGGTGAAGTCCCAGCATCTCTGGCCAGACCTTCTCTCTCCCCTGGGGCACCGAGTTGCTCCTGCCAATGCAATATTTAGAAATATCTTGGTTAATGTCTGTTAACTCGCCCACTTCCTCCTTGCAGGATAGCTGTCTTTCCCAAACAGATGGCTAAATGTGAAATATAATCCTCATTTTCCTATCTTCCCCATAGGACCCTTTTCCTCTTCCATAAGACTATTTATTTCCCATATCCCCTTATAGTCCTCTTAAGAGAAAGTCTTTCATCTTCCCCCTTTCCCATCTTGAATCCTCAGAAGATGCTGTCCTGGCTCAGTCATCTGCCCAGCTCCTCAGAGGACATCTGGCTGATTCAGACCCTGTTCTGGAGGGGAGTTCTGGTCAACTCTCATTTGACCTCTATCGCGATACAACAAGGGCTGGAAACTGAAGTCTTCGGGGATGTTCTGCTGCTCTCTTGTGCAGGCTCTGCAAAATATCTCAGCCTTCCAGTACCGAAGCGATCTGTGCTCTTTTCCTCTCCTCTAACACATATTCCCTGTGTCCAAAGAGACCGGTTCACAAACTATTTGAGTTGTGTAAATATCTAATAAAGCATGAGTAATACCACAACGCACTTTAAACAGTTCACTGGTGAGGATCCTTCCAGTTTATGAGCTGTAGGGCCTAGGTCCTGTGGATCTTATATCCAGCCACATCTCACCGACAGGCGTTTCCAAAACCTGAGAAGAGTTTTCTAGGTCTTCTCCTACCCAAGCGTAAGTCAAGAGGAGGTTTGATTAACTCCACGGACAGGGAGCTCAGATTTGTTCAGCCCAGGAAGATGGCTTAAAGAATCTCATCAGGTATCTGTGCTGCTTTTGGTGTAGCAGCTTCTCCGGGCACAGCTGGTCCTGCAAGTGCACTGCAGCTGACATTATTTTATAGCACATTGTCACCAGCAAAGAAAAAAAAAAAAGCAAACTTAATAATACTCAAGCTCTCCAAGCCCAAAGGTGCTATTCAGACCTTAATCACTCTTTCCATCTAGTGATTTGAAAGTGCTTTGTACTCGTGAACTGAGGCTTGCGCCACCCTTAGGAGGCAGCCAAGCAAATAGAAGGTACCTGCTGTTGTAATTAAGCCATGCTCTTCCACCTGGGATTAATTTTAACCCTTTTAGTTCAGGAAAAAGAAATAATAATAGCAAAAAGCAGGTATTTGGCGGTATGCCAAAAAGTTGCAGTAGCTCTGTCACTGGGCTGGCTTTCAGGAATAGTAAGTGAGACTCCTCAGTGGTTGTGTAATCACTGCAATTAGGAAATCAAGTGCTTTACAGAGTATGCAAGAGTTGCTACTCACATTGCACTGATGAAGAATCTGGGGCACAGAATGGGAAAGTGTCAGCAAGGTCCCTGCCTCCTGGTCACCCACAGCCAGGAAGAAGAGAAAAATCTTGGGAGTTGTGCTCTGACGTCCTAAATTGTTTATGCTCTTTGAAAATAAATGCAGGCATCGTTAACAAAATAGCATGCACAAACATTCTTAATTGTGACAAAAAATGGGGACAATTGATCCTTTGATGTAGAGCACGATTGCTGGCCACCACATCCCAGAAATCGGAATAGCCATGTCATGGCTATTGTGGGGCAGGCATGGAAAAAATCTCTTTTTCACAGAACTCAGGAAGATTCACTCCGTGGGAAAGATGGATAATGTAAGAGTCATGGCTGTACTGAGCTGGAAATGCTTTCATCGTTTGAAGGGGGTTCAGAACCTGAGGCTCAGTGAAGCCCAACAAGACTGGGGAGCTGGACAGTCCATGCTTTATTCATCCAGCAGACAGGAACAACTAATTTGCGGAAAAAAAGACTCTACAACTCAAATAGAGTTACACAGCAGGGATGTTTACTCCGGTGCCGGGGTGCAAGGGGATTTGTCCACAAAGCTTGCACACCCACTATCAAAACTTACGGAGTGTGGATATCCATATTCCTTGGGTTACAGAACACAAACATCCATATGCATGAGTAGGGCTGGGTTAGTTCGAAAGGCTGATGTCAGCAGTTGATGTTCTCCTTGCACCTGCCCATTGCCTCCTGGGGGGCATCTCCGGGGGTCTTTGGGAGGAAGGCTCGTAGTCTTTCTCACCCTGTTTTTTCCCCGGAGCATGCACAGATTCTCTTGGCCAATTTCTTGAATGATAAAAGTGGTTTTTTAGCCGGTTTACTCATTCTATCTTATCTAAGAGAACCAACAGAACTGTTACCATCTGTCTATGACTATCTCTACTCATTAGCAAAATTGCAACTAGTTAGAGCCATCCACCTGTTCCTCAAGGACAAAAGCATAATATTTTGCTGAACATTGTAGTCCCTGGTAGATTTTCACAGTGAACTGCTTTGTTTTGATGAGCACAGTAGTTCTTGGTAAAATTCCACAGAACAGTCTGGGCAAGCAGGATTCTTAGTGATATTTTAAAAACCACTATATGTAAATAAGTTGCTAAACAGTTTTCTATAAGTAAATAAATCGTAAAACAAGTAATCGTTTCTCTGTGTCACAACGAGGAGCATCAAGACCCCCTGCACTCCTACATGCCATGATTCGGACTGCCCCGTGGGTAGGAGAGGAGGTAGTGAAGGCAAAGGCAGCCTTGGTTTGCCTACAGATGATCTCACATGGACCCAGCTGGCCCTCACGTGTTGAGCCACCTGTGAGCACTTGTTTCAACCCGTGTTTTGCTACACACCCTAGCTGCAAATACTTTGCAACACCGTAGAGAAGGGTTTAAGCAATAGTCCCTCTTGGATGGACCCAGGTAGCCTGTCGCATCTTTTGCACATCATTCCCCTGCTCCAGGTGATGCAGCAGAGCAGTTGTGAGGGGCGATTGTGGATGATGTTAGAAGATGCAGAGAGCAAATTTTTGTTGCAGTAAAAGGGTGATTCTTAGAACAACTAGTCCTGGCACCCACAAGAAGAGATGCCTTCCTGGATTTGGTGGTGAGCAGTGCAAAGGATCTAATTCAAAAGTTGTATGTGAGAACTGCTCTGTAAAAGTGACCACAGTACCATCAGGCTCAACCACGTTGTCGGGACCAAATACATTCAATGTGAATATTTAATTTCCCAAAAGCAAAAATGAGGAAAGAAAAGCACCGAAAGGAGCAGTCCGGAGGAGCAAGAAGCCTGCAGGTGGCCTGAAAGCTGTTAAAAAGGCTGTGCTAGAAACCTCAGTAAAATATTTGCTTTGACTGGGAAAGAAAACAAAGAGGTCTAAGAAAAATCCCTGCAGGGCATGAAGGGCAAGTCAGGGAGGCTCTGGCAGGGGAGAGCTCAGCGGTGAGCAAACAGCTGACGGAGAAGGGTGGCAACTCCCATAAAACGTGACAGGTCAGATTCAAGTAGGAAAGAAGGCTGAGGAGGAAAGTGAAGATCCCTTTGCAATAAACACCTGAACTGACGGTAGAAATGCCCATAAATGCTTGGTAAGGAGGAAGCCATTGGGGGAGTCCTTGATGAGAAAGGAGTAGGAGGACACTTAGGGGTGGTACGCTGTAGTTCAGTACACTCTACGGTCCATGGCAAGGCAGTGAAGGCCATAATAAAAATAAAACTGCTGAGCATGGGCTGTGAATTTCTGGATGTTGCTGGCACAGGAGGCTGTGGAAATGGGCAACACCAGCAGACCCAGAAAAGGTTAGACAAATTCAGGGACATCAGGTCTTTAAGGACAAGAGGGAAGGGCCTCAAGTTACGCCAGGGAAGGTTTAGACTGGTATTAGGAAGCATTTATTTCCAGAAGGGGCTGTTGGGCGTTGGAATGGGCTGCCCAGGGCAGGGGGGGAGTCCCCATCCCTGGAGGGGTTGAAGAGTCGGGCTCACCCAGCGCTGAGGGATCTGGGGGAGTTGGGAACGGTCAGGGGGAGGTTAATGGCTGGATTGGATGATCCTCAAGGTCTTTTCCAACCTAGACGATTAAAAAAAAGATTCAAAATTTTTTAAATGGGTATTGAAAGGATGGGCAAGGATGTCCTCTGCAACATTCCTGATTTTGCAGTTATGGATGCTGGAGCAAAATGGGAGGACTGGTTCACAGATTGTGCCCAGGCTCACATGCTCTCCCTGAAGAGCAGGGAAGACATGGAAAGAGAAGGCAAAGAGAAGGCATGGAAAGGGGTGGCATAGAAGAAGCAAAAACATCATCCAGAGACAGGCA